ACTCTTACACGGATTGATACATTCAGTATAGTCGTGTATCAACACTGCATGTAATAACTCTTACACGGATTGATACATTCAGTATGTATCAACACTGCATGTAATAACTCTTACACGGACTGATATATTCAGTATAGTCGTGTATCAACACTGCATGTAATAACTCTTACACGGATTGATACATTCAGTATAGTCGTGTATCAACACTGCATGTAATAACTCTTACACGGATTGATACATTCAGTATAGTCATGTATCAACACTGCATGTAATAACTCTTACACGGATTGATATATTCAGGTCATTGCATATATAACATTGATACATTCAGTATAGTCATGTATCAACACTGCATGTAATAACTCTTACACGGATTGATACATTCAGTATAGTCATGTATCAACACTGCATGTAATAACTCTACACGGATTGATATATTCAGTATAGTCGTATCAAGTATCAACGGAATGCATGTAATAACTGCAGTATAGTCATGTAATCAACTCATGTAATACACTCTTACACGGATTGATACATTCAGTATAGTCATGTATCAACACTGCATGTAATAACTCTACAATAACTAGTCATCATCAACACTGCATGTATCTTACACGGAACTTGGATATTCAGTATAGTCATGTATCAACACTGCATGTAATAACTCTTACACGGATTGATACATTCAGTATAGTCGTGTATCAACACTGCATGTAATAACTCTTACACGGATTGATACATTCAGTATAGTCATGTATCAACACTGCATGTAATAACTCTTACACGGATTGATACATTCAGTATAGTCATGTATCAACACTGTCATGTAGGATTGGATATACATTCAGTATAGTCATGTATCAACACTGCATGTAATAACTCTTACACGGATTGATACATTCAGTATAGTCATGTATCAACACTGCATGTAATAACTCTTACACGGATTGGTACATTCAGTATAGTCATGTATCAATAATGCATGTAATAACTCTTACACGGATTGATATATTCAGTATAGTCATGTATCAACACTGCATGTAATAACTCTTACACGGATTGATACATTCAGTATAGTCATGTATCAACACTGCATGTAATAACTCTTACACAGAATGATATATTCAGTATAGTCATTCAGTATAACTCTTACACGGATTGATACATTCAGTATAGTCATGTATCAACACTGCATGTAATAACTCTTACACAGAATGATATATTCAGTATAGTCGTGTATCAACACTGCATGTAATAACTCTTACACAGAATGATACATTCAGTATAGTCAGTATTATAATTAATTAACATCCTTTCTGATGTGAATGCCAAATGTTCTTCATTTAATTGGTTCCATTGTCACTTGGACCATTTGACACAACATCGTGTAATATAAAATTCCACAGGCCTCACTCTGTTCACATAACGTAACTCCCGATCCCACGTGTCCATTGCAACTGGACAAGGTAGGCATCGCTATGTGGCTGTGACGATGCTAATTCGGGGTTGCTTCCCTTTCCAAAAATGGCCGACAAGAAGGCTGGTAGACGTAAACTTTAATCAATCTTAAAATCATGGCGATCTCAGTTTTGCATCAACAGTTACATCAGTTGTTGTTGATCCAATGATTTATCGACCTTCCACAAGTGATTTTAACCGAATCTTCCTCAGGGTCGACAAATCACTGGATCATCCTCAAGTGAAGGCAATGATTGTAGCATATGTTACAGTCAATGATTGTATATAATCGACACACCGGAAATACAAGTGTAATAAAATATTAGCAATATGAGCTATGTGCCAGCGGACACTACGACTGAAATGACCGTCACACCTATTTCCCTTGAGGACATCGACCTGGATGTGTCACTAGGTAACAGGGGCGGTGGGGTAGCCTAGTGGTTAAAGCGTTCGCTCGTCATGCCGAAGACCAGGACTACAGCATTTCAACAACAAAAAATACTTCAAATACATTTTTCACATGCTGACAGTGTCTGGCGATAATATCACAAATACGTCCTGTAACACTGTCACAGGTATCGTACACACTTTTCACATCAGTTACAACCATCATGTTGAAATGGATGAAATTGACATACACGTGGTAGATTTCACATACAGCCCCAGATAAGCGCTTTGCGGTAGATTATTTAACCAAGCTTTACAAAATGTACAAAACCAAATGAAACTGAGTACTTGATTAAATAATTGAAAGGTAAACAGTCCTTTAAAGTTTATTCATAAGCAGTAGGAAATGAAGCGCCTATAATTCATAAGGGTGCCTACCCCTTTAAGTACGCTAAACCCTGTTAAAAGGTAATGCGGATGCCGAAGTACTGAACGCTACGAAATGTTTATCTGTAACCGTGACGCCAATATTACCACGATGGAAGATCCTTGACTTTCTGTTCTCACAAAGAGGCCAGGCGTTGACTATAGCATTGTAGAATACTCCCAATACGCTATTCACACACTAACGTTGTCTATGAAATGTTTATCTGGTACGAGGATGCAAATATTAGCATCGATTTTCTGTTCTTGCAATATTTAGCCATTAGCTGATGGGAACTAATGGTCATGCATTCTGTGTGAGAATATATCGGCTTCAGTTACATGTTATAGCGTGTACACTGATGATGTGAGTCTCAGGACATCTTAAAGTGAATGCCAAGACAAAAGTATTTATGCTGGATCCCTAGTCATTGCATGACAAGCCTGTTGAGATTTCACGTGTTGATATTACGATGACGACGAATACGATGATATTTTAAAATATGGTTTTTACAGAAAAGATCATTAACAGACTTAAACAGCATATTTCGTGTTCAGAAGGCAGATATTCGATTATTTCGGACATGTTAGCCTTGGTATGGTTGTATAAAACGGCCATCTCCTAGGATAGATGTACTAAGGCAAGTATTACCCCATTACATAAAAGTTCATAGTTACTACATATACTAAAAAACTGAAAAACTATCTGACTAAAAACTATTACGTATTTTTCCAAATTGGTGAAAACACAATGCCATTAGAAAGTGGTCACATGTAACTTATGTTATAGTTGGGATTACACTTTGGAGTATTGTCTATTTGAATAATTAAAGTACGAGAAAACACAATGTCATTAGAAAGTGGTCACATGTAACTTATGTTATAGTTGGGATTACACTTTGGAGCATTGTCTATTTGAATAATTAAAGTACGAGAAAACACAATGCCATTAGAAAGTGGTCACATGTAACGGTACATAGTTGGGATTACACTTTGGAGCATTGTCTATTTGAATAATTTAAGTACGAGAAAACACAATGTCATTAGAAAGTGGTCACATGTAACGGTACATAGTTGGGATTACACTTTGGAGCATTGTCTATTTGAATAATTAAAGTAAGGGAAAACACAATGTCATTAGAAAGTGGTCACATGTAACAGTACATAGTTGGGATTACACTTTGGAGTATTGTCTATTTGAATAATTAAAGTAAGGGAAAACACAATGACATTAGAAAGTGGTCACATGTAACTTATGTTTTAATTGGGATTACACTTTGGAGTATTGTCCATTTGAATAATTAAAGTATGAGAAAACACAATGCCATTAGAAAGTGGTCACATGTAACGGTACATAGTTGGGATTACACTTTGGAGTATTGTCTATTTGAATAATTAAAGTAAGGGAAAACACAATGACATTAGAAAGTGCTCACATGTAACCTATGTTATAGTTGGGATTACACTTTCTCAGTAAGTAGAGATGCTAGTACGTTTTTCAGTCTCATCTGGGATTCGAACTCACACTCCTAATCGCCAGCGCTCAAAGTCAGATACCTAACCCACTCAGCCACTGCAGCCTCCACAACATTAGAGGTCTGACAACTTGTAGTCTAGATCACGAACTCTACACTACCAGTCGTCAAACTTGTATTTCGCAACGCTGCTAAATGGCATCGTTGGGATTTACAATTTGGTTGATTTGGGAATGGTTATTACTTTAATATATGTATTATTGTGATGCTGGGATTTATCTTGGTCTATCTATTTGTATGCCACAGTGATAATGGCTGGAGGTTTTTGGCATTGAAATCTGGTAATTAGGGTAACCACCACACGATCAACACACATCATGCAATTTTGAAAGTATTTTCAATGCCTGAAGGTTACCTTTCAGGATTACTAAGTGGAGCAAGGCTTCGATAAAACTTGACTTCATCCTTTTATATGTCAGCCAAAGGGGAGGACACGTCCATCCTTCCTTGGACACTTTAAATTTATCATCAAAATTTCATAATCATTCCACGCTCGGGATAAAGTCCCACCTTTTTGGAAGAGATTTCTCATTGTTTACGGGAATCATTTTGTCGCTTTTATTTGCTAGATGACAAATAGGCGTTAAATCTGATATGAATGCTGCAACGGAGTATTTTCAACAGCCACACAACCACACAACCATGTGCATCTCATGGTATTGGCAGTGTATATCATTGACGCCCTTCTTTAATTTCTAAGTGTGTAGATCGCATCCAATAAAACCTTACTATTGCATCAACATCAACATTATCAACACATGTTGCAGATAATGCATGGACCAAACAACTTCGTAAAAACATGTCGCCTGAACAGAATCCAAACAATTCAGTAATTCGCATTCATTTCAAATAAGTTCTTTCTTTAGACTTCGTTCCTTTGGTGCAAGCTAGTCATTACATGTGATAATGACAGCTCCGTAGTTCCATACATCTAACGAACCAATCTCACCCTTCGCTATTAGTATCGCGTTAGGCACTATCCGTCACTAATTAAAACAATCATGACATATTTTGCATCAATTTTTTGCATTACGGACAATAATGGACCTTTTGAAATGTAACAAAATTCGCAGTGTTAGCATTAATACCATGTGCTTTGGATTGCATCTTTTTTACAAATTACGTTAATTGCTCAGTTTGTCTGACGTCCTGTCAAAATATGATATTCGACGTAACGATTGACACGTGTAATTAGGGATGTGCAACTGAAAATTATCGTTGTCAATCGACAAGGGTATAAAAGGCCCCGTGTAGTCTGTCTGCATCACAAGATCTCACAACGTTTTTGCAGTCAGCCACACTACTACCACGTGAGTTTAACTTTATTTTGGCTTTTGTATTTTCATAACTTTATTTTTTGTCTTTTAATCAGACAAAATGTCTAACTTGAAACTATTGTTGTTGCCAAGTTCGATTTTAGTTACTGTTAACGCGGATCTTTTTGTTTAAAGCACCTTTGGACATTACTTCAGTTATATCACATAATATCAGCTAAATTCGGCACGGAAGTCCAAACTGATCAATGTCTTGAAGAAGGTTACAACAATGTCAGAATTAACAAATTCAGAGCAATATGACAGTGTTAAAGAACAGAAGATAGTTTCTTGTTTTCATCTGAAACTTGTTCTTTGTTTCATTTGTTTGCTTTTGAAATACAATGTCCATCAGCTGAAACAGTTTTAGGAATTTGGTTGATGTTTGTCATTCCGGTGTGAATGCATTTAGAATAGGGATATATTTGTGTACAGACATTTCAACTCTTAAACAAACGTTTAAGGCTAGTCTAGTGGTTAAAGCGTTCGCCCATCACGCAATTACGGTTCGATTCCCAACATCGATGCAATGCGTGAAGTCTATTTCTGGTTGATGAAATATTGTTAAACGGGGCGTAAAACCATACCCACGCATTCACCCACTCTTGAATAAATGAGAGATGGTTTATAAAGATACTCTTGCATTCGTATTTGCAATAACACCTGTCATACCGTATTGACACATCGTATGGTTTGAAACAAATAGGGGCGTTTGGAGAGCCAAGTTGTTAAAGCGTTTGCTCGTCACGTCTAAGAGCTTCGATTCCCCACACGGGTACGATGTGTGAAGCCCATTTCTTGTGTTCCCCGCTTTGATATTACTGAAATATTGCTGACGGCGGCGCAAAACTACACTCACTCACTGACAAAAACAAACGTACAGCATCACAATCCGAGAGGACTGGTTTCATCATCTGTATGTTAATATGTTCTTACAAAAAGATTAGCTGGTGCCAAATGATATCCTATTCTACTTTTTTAACGATATGAAGAACGTAAATCATTCAGCAACGACTCGACAATTGCGACAAATGTCTCTTTTATTGTATGCCATTCATTCAGCAATTTCCTTTTAGCCCCGACAGAATCAAAATGCTGAGAATCACCTGTCTTGTTTTCGTCCTGGCCGTTGTTGCCATGGTATCCTGCAACAGAGAGGCTCTCACCCAGGCTGTCATACAAGAAAGCGGGAACTCGAATCTTGTAAGTCTTTCTGAAATTGCAATTGCTGTTTGTTTACCATAATTTAACCGAAATCTAAATCCAAACTATCATTCAAATTGCATATATCCTCTCTGTTAGTTTTCAGTAATATATAACCTACTCGTGATCATTTATTGAACATATATATTTTATAAAGAATCATCAGGGTTTTTAATATATGTAACCAGCCCTTATAAAGTGCATCAGAGCCAACTATGTCAACAGATTATGGAGGTCTGATCAATGACATTTTCGAAACTTTAAGAACATTTTTTTCCTTTTTCGATGTTATCAAAACTGCCACTGTTCTAATTACCTGCATTAGAGCAACAACAACAAAATTTAACAAACAGAATATATAAATATAGATGTATCCTGGTGCACAAGCAGTAAACAATATCCAATTAAAACCAAGTTGCATGCCTCAAGTGCACATCTCAGTATAATTTTTTTCCTTTTCGTAAAATTTCTAACACGGTCAAACTTAAAATGAACAGTTTAGAATTGCGATCATTCCAACATTAACCCGATGAATGTAACAGTGGCGTGACGTCACAATAAGTGTAACGTCATTCCCTCTTTTATTGACGTCATTCTCTCATACGAATGAAACATATACTTCCCATCAAAACTTTAGACTCACTAGTGTAAACATAGCCACTTACTTCAGTCAACTGTTCTAAACTATATTTTGCAAAATATTCCATACTGTTTAAAGGTACTGTTTACACATGAACTGATGTATTGAAAAACAAATTCGTAACGCTGAAAAGATTATTGTCATGAGTTCCTTAAATGATAAAAATCAGAAAAATTGGCGAATTTTTAACAAAACTTTACACCAAAACGCTTCTAGTCACATGCACGATATTTGCACATGCTTTTCAACAATTTGATGCATGATCCTCGTGCAGTTCATCTGCATAAGGTTTGCAGTTGGTTCCCCCAAGTTAGTGGAGAAATCAGTCTTCGATGTAACCATATATATATACATAACAAATATTGTTTTAAGTGAGTCTAAACGTTTGATGGGAAGTATATTAGAGCAGGTATTCAGCGATTGATTCAGTTCTATCTATGATATAGTGACTGTTCGCTACATAAAAGAACGTTTCGTCTCTGCATATGTACATTTAGTTTTGTCTAATTGTGCTTGTTGCTGTATGTAAGTTTTCCTGGTTCCGCTTAGCTGGTCAGCATGATTCCTGATTCCATACTAAACACCACAATTCAATAACGCACTAACTACATTATTTACACAGGAGTGCTCTAAAAAACAAATAATCCGCATCATAAAATTAAGCTTTTGAATTGAGGTTGTGGAACCGTTTTTTCGTTTCCGCTACGATCGAATACCACTTTTGAACATATGAGAATATATCGAGAGTACTTCCGGTGAGAACAGCAGTTCCGAAAGTCCGTATCCAGTTGATTCTCATTATTAACAGATTAACACGCTCTCGTTTGTGCTCAGGTGTTGTCCCTAACAAATGTTGTATTTTCCTACCAGGAAGAGGGAAGCTCAGGTCTGTACCTTGACGCTAACGGGTTTGCTGAGGCGTGCGACACCAGCGTAGCTGACGACATGGGTGGAACCGCATACAGCGAAGCGGGCGATAACGCTGATGATGCTGTCGGATTTGCATCCAAACTGGCCGGCGACAGAGCAGTAAGTTTTGACTTGACTTACAAAGTCAACTTTGTGAAATCCCTAGTGATATCGCCAATAGCCTCATTACGACCACACCCGTTAAGATCCGGGTTAGAACTGGCCTGCAGCAACCTGGCTTCTTGTAAGAGGCGACTATCGGGAACGGGTGGTCAGGCCTGCTGACTTGGTTGACACATGTCATCGTATCACATTTGAGATGATTGATGCTCATGCTGTTCATCACTAGATTGTCTCGTCCAGACATGAATACTTCCAGATCGACACCATATAGCTGGAATCTGGCGTAAAACAACAAACAAACAAACACATGTACGCCAATATCGCTTCCGAAGAACATAAGTTTAGCCTTTCCTTCTTCACATCAGTTCCTTGATCAATATTATCAAGGAGGCGAAGGACGAAAATGTTGAATGAAATGTTTTACATGAGCAGTTATTAAATGTAAAGTTGGAAATGGGTGCCTACCTTTGATGGTGGCGATATTCTATTTTGACATTTAAAATATTTTTGGAACCGAAACAAAGGAAGTACGTTGCCAATCTTTGCTTGCTTCGCTCGCATATAGGAAGACTGGTCATTTTCTCTCTGTTGCGCAACCCTATTTGCGCTACAGTTTGCCTGTGGTCAAACGCGAACAGAATCGCTTTCAACAGAAACAGTAATCGTTTGCTATGTTTCGTGTTTTTACAAATCACAACTGTCTGATTTCTAATGGGGATGTCTATGTTTCTTACTTCAGTCTAGCGCTAGTAGTGTCGCTTGCGATGCTTTTGCATGTCCCGATGGAAACGTTTATGGTGCCTGTGCCTTTGAGTAGGAGAAAGGTGAGACATTTTGATGATTGTAATAAAGTCACTGAAAAGCACATTTAGAAACTGAAGTGTACCATGACACAGTCGGTGAATTCAATCGTATCTTACATAGTTTGTCTCATTTATGGTCATACAATGCATTGTTTTGAGCAGAGATTTATGAAAGGGTATTGTTATTATCATTGTGACGTGTTATCCTCTGCTAGTCAATTAGGCTATTCAATGTGTTAAAACAACCCTGTAAAATAGTTACAAGTAGTTAATTAAAAGTCCCTGTCAAAACAAGTGAAATGTACATCCTGTTAAAACATTCTTCAAAGATATTGAGCAATTTCCAGCAAAAGAATAAACAAGATATTTAAGGGCTGTTTCCAAAGAAACGTGTTACGCATGTAATGAATGCAGAATTCAGTAAATATATGTTTTATCATATTTAATAATCTCTCCTGTTATGTTTCAGCTGATGGAAAGAAGCGGACATGTTGCAGGGATATTTAGTCGATTTGTAATGAGTTTTGTTGATAAATAAAAGATAGTCAAATGATAATCTTTGATATTTTTTGGGTTTTATGATAGATCTTTCTTGTCAGTTAAATAATGCTGGTGAAAATTAGGCAATAGCATCAGCAACTACCAAAACGAGTTTGATGGCACACAATGGGCGTTGTTTAACGCCGTCCTCAGCAATATTCCAGCTATATCGCGGCGGTCTGTAAATAATCGAATCTGGACCAGATAGTCCAGTGATCAACATCATGAGCATCAATCTACGCAATTGGGATACGATGACGTGTCAACCAAGTCAGCGAGTCTGACCACCCGAGCCGGTTAGTAGCCTCTTAAGAAAAGCATTGGTTGGTAAAGACCAATTCTAACCCGGATCTTCACGTTCACGACAGTTAATTGATAAAATACGGTACCATCTTACAAATCTCAATTCGCCGCGAATAGTTGCTAGATTGCTGCCTGCAACGTAATGATTATTTTTATATCACCCATCAACCTGCAGATCTTTCTTGAATGTACATTCACGGCAAACCCTATTCCATAAGCTCATGCTTTTGGCGTCAAGGGCTGGTGGGGTAGCCTAGTGGTTAAAGCATCCGCTTGTCACGTCAAAGATCCGGGTTCGATTCCCCATATTGTTACAGTGTTTGAAGCCCATTTCTGGTGTCCCCCGTCGTGATATTTCTGGAATATTGCTATAACTAAACTCACTCACTTATGACGTCAACATTCCTCAAGGCACAGGTATTTAAGAGTATGTACGTTTTCTTAAAAAAACATTTGCTTACAACTTCTGGATCACGGTTTCACTGTCAGTGTCTTAGTTAAGCCATTTCCACTTGATATTCAGGGAAACGTAGACACAGTGCTTTGAAATTTAACATATTATCGTTTTTAGTTACAAATAAAAAATCAGTAAAATACGCTCTCGTGTCTCTGGAAATTTTGGTTCAACACTTGATTGCATGGTCAGTAATCAGTCATTTACATACAGTCATCGTATTCTGGGAGAATTGCTGAGATGCTTAAGAGACAGTAACCAAATATGTTGTAACACGTGTAAATTGTGTGCGTGGCGGGAGGTACTGCTATAAGTATAATCAACCTTTTCGTGAACACCTGGTGTTATTGCCGATTCTCAGTGATCCAGTCATACAATCTCAACACAACATGCCCTATTAAATCTATAATGACCTTTGAATAGAATGATGAAAATACCACACGCTATCATTCACGTGTCTATTCACTTCACAATATTCGAGACAAAACAATGACTGAAAATTAAAACTTGCTAAATTTGACGCATCACTGATTTTTTCTTGTCTGGTGCAATTCCTTATTTGACTTGAACCATCTAACAGGATTTGCGCTTTTCGAGATACCTATTATCATCACTATTCATATTTTCACGAACGTGATTGGGATCGTTGGTTTGTTTGTTGTTTTACGCCGCACTCAGCAATATTCCAGGTATATGGTGGCGGTCTGTAAATAATCGAGTCTGAACCAGACAATCCAGGGATCAACAGCATGAACATTGATCTACGCAACTGGGAACCGATGACATGTGTCAACCAAGTCAACGAGCCTGACCCCCCGATCGTGTTAGTGGCCTCTCACGAGAAGCATGGGTTGCTGCAGACCAATTCTTACCTGGATCTTCACGGGTCACGTGATTGGGATGCAGGTGGAAATCATACATTGACTTCTTTTGAGTTTTCTTTTGATTATGGAATATGTTTGCGAAAGTGTCAATGCAGGTCAATTGTGGCTTTTTAAGCAGTTAAGGCCTATTTACATTCAACAACGCACGATTGAACAGACAAATACAGTAAAATATTATAACTAACACGCTCATAACGAGCTAAGGTGTTTAACTTAATGTTTTTGTTTGTTTTGTTGTTTTTTGTTCAATGCGTATAACGAACTATGGTTAACACGAAGGGTACTTAGTGGTCCCTTTGAGTTCCTTATAGTGAGTGAGTTAAGATCTACGCTGCTTTTAGCAATGTTCCAGAAATATCACGGCGGGGGACACCAGAAATGGGCTTCACACATAGTACCTCTGTGGGGAATCGAACCCGGGTCTTCGACTTGACGAGCAAACGCTTTAACCACTTGGCAACCCCACCGCTACCGTTTCCATATAATTGTAGTCTACTGTCTATCGGACTCCAGGTCAATAACCTTGCTACACGTATGCCAGAATTTCGAGATTCGTAACGCGTGATGATCACCCCACGTGCCGATTAAAATTCTATCCGCGTTAAAGCTACGTCGTTCAGTATGACAAGTTAACTCGGAGTCCTGATCGTAATTTATCTTTGTGTGCTGAGAGTGTGGGTTCGAATACCGGATGGGATTCAAAGCACTAGAATCTGTAAAGTGTGATCCCAAATGGGAGCTTTGTATGTAACGTAACGTTTCTTATAAATAAGTACAGAACATGCGAATGATTCGTGATAATAATAATTCATTTGGACAGTGACTAAAGGTTGGCGCAGATTCTCTGTACAATACAACGCTTGTAATCTTCATAAAGGGTAGGGACGGGTTTAACGCCGCAGTAGTAATATTTCACTTCTAATAACGTAATATCTTGTAACGTTTAACCTAACAGTTCACTTCTAATAACGTAATATCTAGTAACGTTTAACCTAATATTTCACTTCTAATAACGTAATATCTAGTAACGTTTAACCTAAAATTTCACTTCTAATAACGTAATATCTAGTAACGTTTAACCTAATATTTCACTTCTAATAACGTAATATCTAGTAACGTTTAACCTAATATTTCACTTCTAATAACGTAATATCTAGTAACGTTTAACCTGATATTTCACTTCTAATAACGTAATATCTAGTAACGTTTAACCTAATATTTCACTTCTAATAACGTAATATCTAGTAACGTTTAACCTAATATTTCACTTCTAATAACGTAATATCTAGTAACGTTTAACCTAATATTTCACTTCTAATAACGTAATATCTAGTAACGTTTAACCTGATATTTCACTTCTAATAACGTAATATCTAGTAACGTTTAACCAATAATATTTCACTTCTAATAATTAAACGTAATATCTAGTAACGTTTAACCTAATATTTCACTTCTAATAACGTAATATCTAGTAACGTTTAACCTAACATTTCACTTCTAATAGCGTAATATCTAGTAACGTTTAACCTAATATTTCACTTCTAATAACGTAATATCTAGTAACGTTTAACCTAATATTTCACTTCTAATAACGTAATATCTAGTAACGTTTAACCTAATATTTCACTTCTAATAACGTAATATCTAGTAACGTTTAACCTGATATTTCACTTCTAATAACGTAATATCTAGTAACGTTTAACCAATAATATTTCACTTCTAATAATTAAACGTAATATCTAGTAACGTTTAACCTAATATTTCACTTCTAATAACGTAATATCTAGTAACGTTTAACCTAATATTTCACTGCCTGAATGTTGTTTAACGCCGCAGTGGGACATGTTCCACGTACATTACGGCGTAAGAGTTGTTTTATGCCGCATTGAGAAATATTGTTTGTGATATTACGGAGTCTGGTCCAAACAATTCAATGACTGAACAATGACGTTTACTCTTTTAAACTTAACAGCTTAATATGCTACAGTTATTTCATATGATGAGTGTTGTTAAACGCCGCAGTGTTTAATGTTTCACTAGTGTACGTCGAGATGTGAGTGTTGTGATTAATCAGGAGTGGTGGGGTAGCCTAGTGGTTAAAGCGTTCGCTCGTCACGCCGAAGATCCGGGTTCGATTCCCTACATGGGTACAGTGTGTGAAGCCCATTCTGGTGTCCCTCACCGCGATATTGTTGAATATTGCTAAAAGCGGCGTAATCACTGTGATTAATCAGCTTTCTACCAACTATTATTACAATCCTCAGACGTAATAATTTTGCAGTCAGTTGAAGTGCCGAATTTTACGTCTGGCTAATCAGATACAATGCGGTATGTTCGTCATCCCTGCGTGGATGTGTACAAAGAGACAAACTTCATTCGCAAGCACACTCGGTAAGACAGTATGGCAGACTTACAGAGGTATGTAGTTACTCTCTATTCAAATCACGAACTACTCTGATTTTTATACTGTATGTGTACTGTAGAAGGATACTAACGTCCTATGAGGACACATAATAAGGTATTTTGATGAATTCTCGAAACAGAAAGATTATTTCTTTGCTAGTCATATATGCCTGTGGTTGCTGGGGTTGAAGAAGCGTGTGTGAACGTGCGTATGTTTGTGATGATGTCAAGAGGTCATATCGCGATCACTGAATGTATGACATTCGGGAGTCTAGGACAATGCATTTGGCCAAGTTTAAAAAAAACCCTAAAAGCAAATGTGCACTTTGTGATGTTCTAGAAACCCAGATATGTGCCGGACTCGCGATGTCCATCTTCCCATCAAGCCCCGGCAATATATTCACATACGTGTCCTTCTCAATGGCAATCTTGCGTTGCTTGGGATTTAGTTCATGTCGCTTTTTTTAACTTAATGGGTTTTTTTTAGATTTTTCAAAGTTTGACTTATAGTTAAACTTCAATACTTGCAATGATTTCACACACACGAATTACGAAAACACAGCCATGCAGTTTAAACATGGCATAAAAACTGAAGGGTTATTTGTTCGTTAGTGTAGAGACTAATGCGTGTTTTTTAAACGTCAATGTCTTCAAAGAATTCCTATTCGCATCTTTGATCTTCAGTAATCCATGCTTGTGGTAAGAGGTGACTAACAGGATCGGGTAGTCAGGCTCGCTGACTTGGTTGACACACGTTATCGTATCCCAATTGCGTAGATTGATGCTCATGCTGTTGATCCCTGGATTGTCTGGTCCAGATCCGATTATTTACAGACCGCCGCCATATAGCTGGAATATTGCTGAGTGCGGCGTTAAACTAAACTCACTCACTTACTCGTATGACACCAGTAGTATTGATGCCGAATACATGTGGGCTCTTTGGCAAGGATTTTTTCGATGGAAAATAACTCACAAATGTCTAAGGTGAAGCTATGAGTTGTTTTTGTTGGCATTACAGCTCCCGGTCGAGTGGTACCCAACGTATCGAAGACTATGGCCGGTTCTTTAATAGAACTACAAACGGAATGCAACCAGCACCAGCTTTGAGATATGACGGTCTGTACTGAGCATTAAATTTGCCTGTCACATTTTACAGAGATCCATCCTAAACTCACTTAATGAAAATTATTTATGCTACACTGAAATAACATGTAAGTCTATGGAAATTACGTCAGGTGTCCGAATATATCTGGCACGGGTCTGTATATAGAGATTATTACACGAGCAAGTGTGTCATATGACTTATACGAAACGAGCGTGAAAATTTGTATTGCCCTACCGAGAGCCAGGGCAATAGACAATTTTGCACGAGTTTCGTATAAGTTGTGTGGCACACTTGCGAGTGTAATAATTTCTTTATTATCCATTTGTGCAGTAAAACACGGTAAGCAAGTGTGCGATCCCTGTTCATTGACGTCACGTTCAATTGTTTAATGACGTCACAGATGATATGATGATAATGACGATGATATACGGAAACAATGGTTGCTAGGCAAAAGTGATATGTGCACATGCGCACATATGCTGTATGACACTGGTTGTTTCACCATATGGATAATGAACGAACCTAACCCCGACATAACTGTTTTCCATATATTTGTCTGTGTGGGATTTTGAGTTGGCCTTTGGTACATAACTTCTGTGCCTCTCTCGAAACACACTTTCAAAAATGTCGTTCAATGATATCTTATTTTTCTTTTTAATGCAATTTGTTGTGATGTTGGATAAACGCTCCGCCATCTTTCTCGTGATGACCCCAGGATCAGTATGACTTAAACTCAAGATGTTCAACTGAGGTTATTTGAACAAAAAGACATATTTGTACTTCTTTGCCTGTGATGCTTCTGTTGCGAGTAGGGCTGTAACAATGCATGGAACTATCGATGGATTGCAATTGTTCAGTCTCCGATAGCAATTAATCGATGTTAGAAACGAAAAAATAACGATGCATCGATGCATACAACCTGCATCGATTGCATGTCTGACTATCGATAGTTTAGTAATTGACTTTATTTTTATTAAATATTTATGGGTTTTTTTCGGTTTGTTTTTTATTGTTTGGGTACAGACTTAAAGCTTAGTTGAGTTTATGTTTTAACTGTTCACTTGATCTGGGTTTCAAGTTTCTTGTTAGTTATTAGGAGAGACTGAAACTACTTCAGTTTGTTTTTATATCATATAAACTATACATTCAATTGGGAAATGACTGCAAATGAGACAATTCACGGGGATAAAAAACTATTGCAATAGTATTGCAATAGTCTGTCGCAATAGACTATCTCTATCACAATAGTTGTTTCCCCCTCAATAGTCACCCCTAGTTGCGAGTGAATTCTGTGTTATGTTTATGGTGAATATATTTGAGAATTGTATCATTCAGCATATCAGAGAAAAATACCAGCAGCTTGTCAAGTACCTATGAGTGGTGGTCTGCCAAACAGCCTGCAGTTCCCTGTAATCAAGGCTACATACACACTAAGGTAATTACACACATTGTGTTCACAAATTGGTAAGGCGGTGGGGTAGCCTAGTGGTTACAGCATTCGCGCGTCCCGCCGAAGGCCCGGGTTCGATTCCCTACATGGATACAATGTGTGAAGCCCATTTCTGGTGTCCCCCGTCGTTATATTGCTTTGACATTGCTATACGCTGCGTAAAACTATACCCACACACAAATTGGTAAAAGGAATTTCAGTGTTTGTTGAATGTTGGCCAATCTTTGTGTACATAAAACAAGCCGTAGATCAGAGCAGGTACTATTAGGTCTTAGCGCTAAGGTAATCGTAACCCCTGTGCCTTAACGTAGATTTACAACAATATTAGCTACGATTGTTTTTGTACAACGACACCCTGTTCTTTACAACCAAAGCACATTTCTGGTCATTCTAAGTAAAAAGTGTTCCTGTCTATCGCTTAACAAATTATATGGATATTTCTGCGATGATAATACGATTTGTGTGTACATTGCAGGGATGGATCAGATGTTCATATTGATCACGATGAGACGAAAACCTTTCTACAGTACACAGACGCAATTGGGTTGGTATTCCGTATGTGAGATTGTCACTGCGTCCTGGATGAATAACTACAAACTGTCACCCTCTTTCCATTGGGATTAAAGTTCCACAAAATATAACCATGACACTTTGCTATGTTTTCGTTTTGTTCTTTTGTTTGTTTTCGTTATTCTCTATTTTATAAGACGGGCCCCGTTTCACAATGAGATCGTAGCGCTAAGGTGATCGTAACTCCCATATTTACGACATAGACTTACGACAGTCATAGCGCTACTTTCGCTTTGTCAAATGGGGCCTAGGAGTTATATAGTTTTTTTATAAATGAATGTAAATGTGCATGCCTAGTCATATTCATCATCTGAGATATTCGTAAGTTTTATCATTAAAATCTTTTATGTATTTTGTAATATTTGCGTAGGTCATGTTATTTTCATTGCCTTTAAAGCCATTTTTATATTTTATAGAGTCAACACATATACAATTTAAGCAAAGGTTTCGATTTATAACTTCACATACTGCTTCCACTGAGATGCTGGCAAGATAGCTGATGTGAATCTAGCAACACTCCTTCCGAACTGTTTAACACATAAATTCATGGACGGTCTACGTTCTGTAAATAATAATAATAATACATTTGTGACTTTGTGAACAACTAGGTCTATTACAACATTACACAACTTGATTCAGGTTAGCCGGCATACGGGGGTGGTTGCAGGGGACTGTACAGGCGTGTTCACGACCCTCCGACAATGGACAACAATGACCTGCCCTCCTCCCTCACTCTACTGATGACAAACGGTGGTAGATGGGGAGCCAACAAGGTGAGTGAGTTTAGTTTTACGCCGCACTCAGCAATATTCCAGCTATATGGCGGCGGTCTGTAAATTATCGAGTTTGGACCAGACAATCCAGTGATCAACAACACAAGCATCGATCTACGCAATTGGAATACGATGACATGTGTCAACCAAGTCAGCGAGCCTGGTCACCCTATCCCGTTAGTCTCCTCTTACGACAAACATGGGTTACTGAAGATCAACTCTAATCCGGATCTTCACGGGTCAACAGGGTAGGAGACTCACTAACTGTTTGACAGTAAACTGAAAGTGACGGCGCGCTATAATAATTCTATAGTATATATTTTTTATCAAAATCAACAAACGTTTAAACCGGCAGTCTGTTGTTTTTGTTGTTTATTTGTTATGATATGAACCCCTTGATTTGAAACCAAATTGTATGTTTCATGTCGAACATGTGACGACATCACGTTCAGTTGTTACAAATAAGAAAATTATCTTAATTCAACTTTTCAGGTTCTAAACATTCTTCTTGAAGACGGAGACAGCTTCCTCTCTGAAGAAGTTATCTACCAAAGCGTCATTCCTAATGTAAGCTGTATTTGACTACATTCGTTTCATCGAACTTTGATGTCTCGAATTTACGGTTTCACCCCGGCATATCCTTTCTAACTCATCGTTTTGCGTTTGTGTCGAACAAACGATTAAATCGATGTACTTACGTAAGTCCTTTCACCAGCTGGTTCATACAATCACGACAATCATTCTTTGACAACCGTGTGACAGATTGGTGGCGTAGTCATGGTGACCATACTTTCCGGCATTGTTGATATTGTTGATGTTTTTGTGTATTCCTCCTAGATTGCAAGCAAATTGTTACCACATTTCAATTTTGTTTTTGTTTTAATCAGTGTAATATATAGTATTTATTACCATTTTAATTCGTAGTTTTCAAAGCACATACCACAACATGTAGCTTAAAACAACATGTAGCGTTTTCGTTCTTAGCATATGCTGGCAGGGCTTGAATAATGCTGATGTTTATTTGAGAAACAACGGGCATCGCAACTAAAGAAATCACCCCTTCTTTGGTGAATGACGGAAGAAGTCCTGTATTAAGAATATAGCTGATACACCTTCTATATATTTCAGTACCTGATCCGGAACATTAAGGCTGCCCCTGTGAGAAGTGATGATGGAGGGATGGACCCTGTTCACCTTCGTCACTTGATGTGTGAGTGGGATGAGGACAGACAAGGAAGGCGCCCCCATCTGTTGTACATCATCCCTTCTTTCTGCAATCCCACGGGTACAGTTATGACTGAACAAAGGAAGAGGAAGATCTACAACATTGCCCGAGAATTTAACATTCTCATCTTGGAAGATGATCCGTACTATTTCCTGCAGAGCGTCAGTGTTGCAATGGCTTGTAATAGTTGATAAAAATGATGTACATTACATTTATGCAAATAGATGACATGTTTCCATGTTTTAAATTGCTGAGGAAAACAGACTTTTACGAATAATATGGCAGCTCCTTAAACTTGCAGCGGTGACTATTGACTGGTCGTAAATGTTGAATAGGCGACTTTCCAAAATAGAACATATCTATATCTGTCAGAAGGTAGTTGCAGATAAGAAGTTTGATCGATCCATCTATACCTACGTTATTGTTACGTTTGATTGAACATCATTTTATAATGACCGACGTTCACAGCTGATTGTTAAGATTTATTAACAAAACATGCTATAGAAATACACATTGCTTAATTGTCAACCAATACTGCTAGGGTGGGCTCTGATATTCAGTTACAAGCTTTCCCGAAACAAGTACTAGTACATCTCCTACTTTAATCTGACGTCAGGCACAAAGCGCTCAACCAACTGGATAGGTGTCGATAAACGCCAATAATCATTTGTTGTGGTAGGAAGAACGCATGTTTGTTATGTGTGTCGGTTATGGCAGTACAATATTTGAAAACACTCTCCTTGCAGACCCTAGTCCCAAGTCTCTTGTCCTTGGATACGGATGGACGTGTAATTAGAACGGATACCTTTTCGAAGACGTTATCACCAGGGTAAACGGTTGCCGTCAAGTTTAAAATAAAACGAAAACGAATTGTTGTTTTTTTGTGCAGAATAACATCACAGATGGGGGTAGCATATTTAAAGCAAGTTCCCAGTGTGACTATATTTGAGTGAACATTGTTTTCGGTTAGCACATGAAAGTCAAATGAACCATCCGATCCTCTTATTTGTCATTAGTAATATACACAAGCACAAAGTGTTCAAGTTGTTAATAACACTGGCAGCAGTGGAGTAGCCTAGTGGTTAAAGCGTTCGCTCGTCACGCCGAAGGCCCGGGTTTGATTCCCCACATGGGTACAATGTGTGAAGCCCATTTCTGGTGTCCCCCGCCGTGATATTGCTGGAATATTGCTAAAAGCGACGTAAAACCATACTCACTCACTCACTCACTCACTCACTCACTTATAACACTGCCTTATAACATAGTGTTGGTGATGGTCATGTAGAACACGAAAACAGACGCCAGCAGGTGTATGATTTATCGTCATTATGCCAAGATGTGCTTCCCTAATTTCTATACTGATCTTATTGAAAGGTGTCGTCTTGGGTTCACGTTTGGACCGAAGCAGATTGTGGACAAAATGGCTGATATCCAGCACCTTGATTCTGGTGGACCAAGTGCGGTATCACAGGTGAGGGGCTCTCTGGTTGTTGTTCAAGGCATTGGGAATATTCCGATTGCGACAAGCCTGTTCAGTTGAGTGATCACAATGTGACTGCTTAGTAGAAGATGTATGGGAGTGAGGAAACAGTTCAATGCAACTTTAATCAGTATTCATGTTATACCACTGGGTGTCGGCTCAATGTGGAAGGAAAGCCCGAAGTGATAAATGTTTCAGAAGAGAACTACTTTGGTGAAATCCACGGAAACTTAATCGGGGTGAATCGGGATGCGAACCGACATTCAAATGGCCTCAACCGCGGATGACGGCACCTCATACCACTGAGCCCCCCACTGGCGTGTTTTTTGTTTAACGCCGCATTCAGCAATTTTCCAGCTGCATGGTGATGGCCTGTTAAATAATCGAGTCTGGACCAGACAATACAGTGATCAACAGCATGAGCATCGATCTACGTAGTTGGGAGACGATAACACCTGACCACCCGATCCCGTTAGTCGTGTCTTACGACATGCATTGGTTGATGAAGCATTGGCAGCTTTCGTTGTTCATGATACTGATCACTGGATTGTCTGTTCCAGACACGACTGTTCACAGGCCGCCGAGGGGCGGTGGGGTAGCCTAATGGTTAAAGCATCGGCTCGTCACGCTGACGACCCGGGTTCGAATCCCCACATGGGCACAATGTGTGAAGCCCATTTATGGTGTCCCCCGCCGTGATATTGCTGGAGTATTGCTAAAAGCGGCGTAAAACCCAACTCACTCACTCACTCACAGGCCGCCGACGTACGACAGAGATAATAATTCTGCATGCGTCAACAAAAAAAACAACTTAGATTTACTTTATGTCACCACTGATTTTCAGTGATCGGATAAGATATATACTAGCCACACGCATAAAAGTGCATTGTAAAAATTATTTCTAAAGTTGAAAGTATAACAGCAATGAAAAGTTTCCGTGTAAAGTTTAACAGATGGATATTTTACCTCATTAATATTTTGATAACGTGCTGAAATTGTGTTTCTGTGGCAATGGAAACGATCAACCCCCACGGACCATCCACAAACTGAATTTCCTCTGTGCACAGACATATGTTAGCTTACGGATTCTGGCATTTTATGTTAAACCTATCTTTAATGCACAGATGCTGATCTACAAAGTCGTGGAAGCCTGGGGCTACGATAAATACTTGGACCACTTGGCGAAGATAGCTGGCTTCTACAAGGAGAGGAATGATATACTTGTATCATACATGGACAAGTATCTGACAGGTACAGCGCGAGGTGCACCTCTTCTCAAAAAGCTGTATCCGGCCCTGTGGTACATGTTTGACATCAATGATGGGGTGTAGCCTAAAAGCATTCCTGTCACCACAAGCACAGAGTGTTCAAGTTGTAAATAACACTGGGGGCGGTGGGGTAGCCTAGTGGTTAAAGCCTTCGCTCGTCACGCCGAAGACCCGGGTTCGATTTCCGCATGGGTTCAATTTGTGAAGCCATTTCTGATGTCCCTTTTTTTTTATATGGCTGGAATGTTGCAAAACTCGGAGAAAAAAACTTATTCACTCACTCACTCATTATTTTGAGGGTGACTATTGTTAGATTCACTGAAGCTACGTCATTGAGTACTAATGCCGTTCAATACTTAAAATAATTCCTCTATCAATGGAAAGATTCTCAAGTCGTTTTGACACAGTCATAAGCGATGGCCTAGGAGCAGCAAGTGTTCACAGTGTTCGCCAGACCGTTCCGACCTTTACCATGAATTCCCTAGTCTGCCTCACAGTCCCTGAACCGCAGTATGTTCCCTTCCACCGAGCCCATTCCGCATTACTAAAGTCCTGAATGAAGCATGTCTAGATTCCACAAGGTTCTGAATTTAAAATCTCACTGGGGCTCCTTTTCAATTTATAGAGAATTTGTAACAAAAATATAATATATATTCAGAAACTAAGCTTTAAATTGCCATTTGGTGTCCACTGTCGTGACAGAGATGGAATTGCTACAAAGGGTCCTCGTTCACTTAAACTTTTGAATGCAGGTCTGTGTGAGTGGTCTCCGGCAGGTGGAGGGATGTTTCAGTGGGTGACGTTACTGGGCGTGGACAAGTCCGAGCCTGTCGTGGACAGACTAATGGAGAGTGGGGTGTTCGTCATGGACGGCTTCATCTTCTCAGTGGACCGAACCTCACGGCCTCACATCCGACTGTGCTTCGCACGGGTGTCGGATGAACAAATGGAAAAGGTGGGCGTGTTGCGACATATTTGTCCGTCATGAAACACTTCGTTAAAGGCACAACGTCACACATTTTCGACACTATTTTGGCCTATATTTTATATATTGGGGGCATATGCACTCACTTTAGCTTCCTATTGATGCAATAAAAGAAGTTATTATCCCTAACGACTTGCCTGAAATCGATAATTGAAACTTCGAGGCGAACAGCTTCCAAACAGATAATACTTGCCATATATATGGAATGTAAACGATTGCTCCGTACATCGAAAACTGTCGCACGTGATGTTGTCGGTGTTTGTCGAACTAGCCTTATAGGATATTCGTAAAGAGCGCTCCAAGGGACATAACTCTTTGGGGTTCGCTTGAAGTAATGTTCGGCCGGGGCGCGAGAGTCGATTTAATGCAACATTGCATTACATCACTCGATCTTTTTAATGTAATGCTGTAATCTAAATGCGTAATTTGTTTTTGGAATAAATTATATGGTAGCTTCCCGGAGAGCCGGTAGTTAGTATTATTGAGAGAAATGCGTTATGTATTTTTAGAGAAATGTGGTGTGACATTGTGCCAGTAAGCTTTTTTGTGTGGTTTGTTGATTTTAATGTGATCTATATTTTGAAATATATTTTACAGGCTGTTTCAACACTAGCTGATGTTCTGAAGGAAATCAGGGGAATCAATTGAAACCAAGTGAAACCAAGTGAAACCAAGTGAAACCATCAAAACAAGACCACAAGATATGAATCTGACTACAGATGATTTGTTTGTGAATATGAGGACACTATGTAGTAGGATTATAATGGTCAGTTGTTTTGAACATCCATATTTCCTGTTATTGCCTTGGGTTTTCAAAAGAGTATAATGCCTGATTTTCCCGTCGTCCACGTGTGTGAAAAAATGACACAAACTTGTGTAATTAAAATATTTCGAATAAAATCTTGTTACGGTCAACAATACAATATTCCCTTCAGAAATGTAAGTTTTAGCTGTGACTCCCTGGGATTATCCCCCTTGAGGTGTTTCGATGGCT